TGCCCTGCCCAGCCCTGCCCTGCCCAGCCCAGCCCACCTGCTACTTGCCCAGGGCCAGCGAGGAGATCGCCCAGGTCCGCAGCAAGGCCCAGGCGGAGGCCGTGGCCTTCCAGGCCAGCCTGCGGAGGGAGCAGATGCGCGTCCACTCGCTGGAGAAGACGGTGGAGCAGAAGGTGGGCGGGGCTCCTGCCGGCCGAGGGCTGGTGGCGCCTGGGAGCCCCCGTGGCCGGCCCGGCCGGCCCCAGGCACAAACACGCCCACTGTCCCCAGACGAAGGAGAACGAGGAGCTGACCCGGATCTGTGACGACCTCATCTCCAAGATGGAGAAGATCTGAGGGCCGCCCTGGCCGCCGCGCGGGTCTGACCGGCTCGCCCAGGATGACCGCTAAATAAAGTGCCCAGTCCCAGCACTGACGCCCTGTCCGCTTCCCGGGCCCCTTGTGGCCACTGAGGGGCCCTGAGTGCGAGACCGGCCCCGGGGGTCGGGGAGGTGCCCAGCAATTCCCCAGGGCCCTCAGGCCGGCAGAGGCCCCGGGGCAGCACAGGGCCCAGCCTACCGGGCACGGGGCAGGTTGCAGGTGGTCACTGCTGCCCCAGACTTGCCGTCCCTGGCGCCCGCGGTGCAGTGGCTCAGGCGGGACCTCTCCTGGGCAGTAGGTTCCAGGGGCCTCCAAGCTCTACTCCTGCCCACCGGCCCGGGGCTGTAGCCGGGAGGCCGCCACCAGGGGTCGCTGCCCACAAGGACCAGCCTGACTGGCCAGAGGCTCCTCTGAGCCCTGCAGACCCGTGGCCATCTGGGGTGCAGGGCCCCGTAGGGAGGACAGGGCTTCCTATGCCCCAGCCCATCGCCCCCTCCCCACTCCCTTCCCTGCACAGCCTGGGGGCCAGTAGCACCCCAAACCTGCCCACCGCACCTCCACCACTTCAAAGCCGGCGGAGCCACCTCGGGAGCGTCCCGGCACCCCGCGGGGGCCCAGCGCCGGGGCGTCAGGACAGCTCGCCCAGCAGGTGCGCTGCTCCAGGGTCTCGCTGTCCGGCCTGCCCCAGAGGCCACAGCCAAGCCGGCCCGTCCAGGCCTGTCCCCTGCTTGGGCGCCCTGGCAGGCAGACCCCCAGCCCCAGGGTGGAAAGGGGGCACACCCCCACGTAGAGTGAGCCGGGGAGCGGAGGCCCCCAGGGCCTGCGGCCACTGGCCAGAGAGAGGTCCACCTTGGGGGGGGGGCAGCTGAGGCCTGCAGCATCCAACTGTCCCAGGCTCCTGACCGGAGGCGGGGGTTATGCTGTGGGGTCTGGGGGTCCTCACCCCGCTCACCTGCCCATTCTCAGCCCTTCCCAGCACTGCCCAGGGGCCTGGCCGACCCCGGGGGCCTCTCTGGACAGACCACGCCAGGCGGCGGCTGTTGGGGCGGCCAGCCTGGCCCAAGGCTGTGCAGGGGACACCAGCCGCTGAGCAGCGTCCCGGCCGGGAGCCTGTGGGACAAAGGGGCCTTGTGCGCCGAGTGGATGTTTATCCTGGAGCCCGAGCTGACCGGCCGCGAGGCCAGGCGGGGGCCTGCGCTGGCCTTCCACGGTAAACATGGCCGGGCTGGCACACGGCGTCCACACTTCCGCCCCCTGTGCCCTGCGCGTGGACACCGCCCGGCCCTGCCAGGAGAGGTGTGGGGGCAGGGCGGCCGGGCCACGTTGGCCCCCAAGGGGCTGGACCCGCCTTCCCAGGGCAGGGGACCGGCCCCCCACAAGGGGTGGCAAGCCAGGCAGAGCGCCCCCTGCTGGGGACCAAATGAGCCCCCGGAGTCCACAACCCCGTGTGGGGTGGCGGGGGGGTGGGGGTGAGGTCTGGCTGGGCGCTGGTGGCTCCTGCTGAGCATGGGCAGCTGCAGGAGGGCTCCTCTGGGGTGGCCTGGCCGGGTGGCACGCCCACTGCCCACAGCCCCTGATGTCCGCCTGTGCCCGAGCCACCGGTCTGCTAGGCCTGGCTGGGCTTCGGGCGTGCTCGGGGCCGAGGTGGGGGCCGGCCCAGCCGCAGCCAGAGCCCCCGGGGCCAGCGCCGCCAGGTGCCCCTGCTTCCCAGCGGCGTCTGCAGAGGCTGAACCCCAGCTCGGCGGCAGGGCCCAAGCGAAGGAGGATGCCGGGTGGCCCGCCGAGGGCCTGGGGGTTCCCGCCGGCTGGGCTCCCCGACCC